GCCGGGGGCGCTGCGCTTGCTTCCGGCCTGCGGCTCGGGGTTTGAGGACAGTTGGTGTGTGCTAGCGGAGGGTGCTTCTCTCGGGACACGGAGTAAAACCGTTTCTCGTTTGCCTGGACAGAGCTGGGGTGGACGGAGTCCGTCCCCTACCTCGATGGGCCTCCGTCCCCACTGGAGTTTTATCGAGAGTGGGTGAGTCCGAATAAACCCTGTGTAATTCAGAATGCCATCAGCCACTGGCCGGCGCTGAAGAAGTGGACCTCAGCATACCTCAGGTATGAACGAGCCTTGGAGCAGGGCTGGGGCTCAACTTGGGCTGACCTCAGTAAAAGGCCCTTGGTTAATCTTTGCTTTTATCTATAAGATTAGCTCAGATTCTTCCGTGCTTCTGTGTGACACTGTTCAGTCTGGCCAAACGCCTGTGTGAATGTCTCACCGCAGCCGTGCTGCCCTGGCCAGGGCCCGAGGCAGGCAACAGGGCGGGAGTGCTGGTGGTGTCAGCCAGCAGACAGCTGTCGAAACCCCGTCCGATCACTGTGCTCCCGCCAGCTCTGCCTGTAGCCTCCCAGTATGAGTGGGGCGGTAGCGCTGCGAGAGCAAGACAGGCTTGCTTGCAACAGAGTACGCTGTTTTTTTAAAAAAACAAGCAATGAGTGTTTTAACAATGACTTTTTTTTTTTCAACTTCTATTTTGAGAGGGGATTTCTGGTTAGACCTAAAAACTGTGGGTTTAAAATGAAATTTGTTGTGGAAATGAGGGCTGTTAGCCTTGCGATGTGTGTGTCTGCCAGTCTGTCCACCCTTTCTCCCTCCTTGGTTGCTTTAGAACATGTGAATGCCCAGATTTGGCTGGGTTGAGTGGTCCCGAGAATGGCGAGCTCCGCTGTGATTCACGACAAGGGGAGCTCCTTCTGTGAACTGGCCTGCTAGACACAAGAGAATTTAGAGAGGTGAAAGATGCTACCGTTGCCTTGACCACAGGAGGCAGTCGGAGCAGAATGCCGGAGTCGAAAATCTAGTCTGGAGACACCCACCCGTGGAAAGCCAGGCTTCTTATTTTTGCTGCCCATGAAACATGTTCTTTTTAAGGTGACCAGTGTCCAGTATACGGGCCAATTGCAGGTCTGGCTATGAACCTTTGGTTTATTTTGCAGGGAGGTGGTAGGTCCCAAGGTAGTGAGTGTGGCAGTAACACCAAATGGTTACGCAGATGCGGTGTTCCAGGACCGTTTTGTTATGCCAGAGGAGCGCCAAATGCCTTTCATGGACTTTTTGGACATAGTGGAGAAGAAAGTGACCTCTCCCAACATATTCTATGTGCAGAAGCAGTGTTCAAACCTCACTGAGGAGCTCCCTGAACTTGTCTGCGATGTGCAGCCTGACATACCGTGGATGAGTGAGGCGCTTGGTAAACCTTGTATTTCTCATATATTCAGTAAATATTTTGTATGGAGCCTTAAAACAATCATGCTAGGTGCATGGTGAATGTTTGTTCTGTTTCGGGATGCCACAGCTCTGTTTGGTTTCATCCCCTTGGAAAGCAGAAGTGGTAAAATACTTGAGAACAGAGTAATCCAAGTTTTGGGTTTGGGTTCCTCCAGAATCAGTACCTCAGTTGTGTCTTGTGACTGTCACAACTGAAACGATGTGGTGATAGTGCCGTACAACACTTCTTTTCATACAGTGGCTTTTCTCTGATGTAGAGTCATGTTTTAACTCGGATTCGTGCCAAAGCTGGCATAACAAATGAGCAAAACAACACACAGCCCCCACCCCCTTTGGTGAAATCACAGAGGTTTGCTTCTAGTTAAACGCTGTTGTGTTTTGGTTGGTTTCTATTTTACAGCATGTCTTTCCTTAAATTGTCGATGAAAGTGATTTAACGTGATCTCACATTCTTGTTGCACATGTAAGCAGACGTGCTGCAGTTTCCCTGTGAGCGAAGTCTTAGGGATTCAGAACATGGAAACAAGGGATTTCAACCCTGGATTTGGGGAAGGATAATACTGTGGCATGAAGTCTGATCGGCACTACAGTGGCTTCCAGCGTAGGAGGAGGTTGCTGTTGCTCACAGATTGCTATTTTCCATGAAACCTGTTGTAGCTATGTAGGAAGTTAAAGGACAGAATTTGGCAGAAATTGGCAGAAAATAATTTTAAAAGCTTTTAAACATGACAATTCAAATTCTTTTTTTGTTGACAACATTTCTCTATTCCCAAACCATACAGGGAAGAAGCCTGATGCTGTGAACTTCTGGCTTGGGGAATCGGCTGCTGTGACATCTTGTAGGTATTGTGTGGGGCTCGAAGTCTTCTGCATGCTTCCAGCACCGGTCTAAGTGGGCTTGTTCTGAGTGAGTGGCTCAGTAGCACTGTGTGTTGTATCTGATGAGGCAGTTCTACTTTAACATGCTTTTTTGCATTCTTTGTGCTACAGCCTCTTGCTGCTGTGTCTCTGGGTGCATCTGCCTGGTGCTGTGTCAGGCAAGGAGCCGACTGTTTGCTTGGTTGAGTACATTTGCTGCAACGTTGTATTGTTACTTCCCACTCCCAGAGAGGAGGAAGCAGCCTGATAATAAGATGGCAAGCTGATGCTTTTGGTTTACTATAATTTCTGACGTAGAGAAGGAAATAACGCTGATTTTTCTCTCTTTCTCCACACCTCTTTTTTTCATCAATCCTAGTACATAAAGATCACTATGAGAACTTGTACTGTGTGATATCTGGAGAGAAACACTTTCTGCTGCATCCACCGAGTGACCGTCCCTTCATCCCGTATGGTACATAATTTACTAGGCAGTATATCTGGAGGATGGAATGAGGAGAGACTAAAATATTGAAAGATATGAAAAAGAAAGTGGAGAGAACATTTTGATGTTTATGCAGTGTTACGCTTTCCAGCGTGAACAGAAATCTCTTCTATTTTGTGCCGCAGGTAGATCGCAGTACAAACATTATTCTGAGGTCAGGTTTTCCAGGCCTGTAAAGTAATAGGTTCGTTGATACCCAGCACAGTCTCTTCAGCTTTAGAACATTTAAATTATTTAAGTATCTTGTCGGTATTGTAGCATGTAATCTTTGATGTTTAACAGGTTTGGATTCTGCCTGTTCATTCTTTTCTCTAGGAAAAAAGCCAGGAAGATGAAAAATAAGTTGCAGTTTAATGAAATATTCAAGTTGCTAACTGAATCTCTGGAAACCGGAGAAATTAAAAAAGAGCTTCTTATGGCAGCATTACTTAGCATTGCCTGTTTTCTCTTTCTTTATATTGCTTTCCGGTGTGCACAGTAATAGTTTGTTGCATTGCAATGTCATCTAGAAAATGGACAGCTTAACTTTATGTCTCATAAAATGAGACTTTATTTTCCCATTCCTTGACTTTCAGACCTTCAGATTAAGTGAATGATTTAGTGCTATAGGACACTAATGTGATTTTGCCTAGATATGTGCGCTGCTGCAATATTTTATTTATACTGGTTGTATTTTGTTTGCAACCTTGAAATCATAGAATCATGGAATGGTTTGGGTTGGAAGGGACCTTTAGGATCATCTAATCCATCCTCCCTGCCGCTCACTAGAGCAGGTTGCTCAAAGCCCCATCCAACCTGACCTTGAATGCTTCCAATGATGGGGCATCCACAGCTTCTCTGGGCAACCTGTTCCAGTGCCTCACCACCCTCATCGTAAAAAATTTCTTCTTTATATCGAATCTAAATCTACTTTCTCTCAGTTTGAAACCATGGCTGCTTGTCCTGTCACTGCAGGCCTTGGTAAAAAGTATGAAATACGTGTGTGTCATGTGAGTCACACATTGTAAAACAACTTGCTGTCAAAGCTTAGAACAGAGATAATGCTTACATTTTGTGGTGCGTAGCAAGACGACAACTCCAAGTTTTTGAACATGAGGTTAATGGAGAGAAACTCTCTCAAGGGAGGACGTAGAAAGCCACATGTGCTGAAGCAATGAAAGAAAAGCAGCCTGCAGTATCTGAAGCAGTCGATGAGCCCTATCCAATAAAATTAGAAGTGAAAGGCTGGCTACGAGTCACTACTGACTCTTGTGAGTGCTATATTGCTAGACTGACCAACCAAAGAAGAACAGGCAGAATGTAGAATGGTGCATAAGACAGGGATGCATTTATGACTTCTGAAAGGGAAACAAGACAGTTACTGGAACAAAATAGGACCAGGAGTAAAATGAGTTTTGAGGAGAATAACTCCTGTGAAGAAAGAAGGCTGGAATTCCGAACAGGAAGGTAGTTCAGTATTCAGACAGACTTAAAAGAAAAAATTAAGAAACTGGATAAAAATTGAAGTGGACAAAGGGAAGGGCAGTGAGGACAGTAAGTTGAAAATTATTTTTTCTTAATTTTTCTTTTACTTGTGAAAGCGTGACATGCCCTGCCATTAGTTTCTCTGAGTACTACCCAGAGTTGTGCCATTTAATTCTTTCTGTGGTTCCAGAGCTCTATCAGCCAGCAACCTACCAGGTGTCAGAAGATGGCTCATTTGAAATTGTGAATGAGAAGAGTGCGGATAAGGTAAAAAGTATATATAGAACACTCTCAGTACAGTAAAGATTTGGGCACTGCTGAGCCCTCAAACTGAGCATATTGATTGGTATTTAGAACCTGTTCATTACTGGAAAGAGAATGCCCAGATATTTCACTTGCATTTTGCTGTTTGCAAAGGATACCCAGCTTCCAGAAAAGATTTTACTGCACACTTGAAAGCATTGATATAACTGTCTTCTGTGCACCAAACTTAAACAGATCCAGTAAAGGACTTTTAAATGAATCAACAATAAAGGAATTAATTTCATTAAGACTGAAATAGACTCCTCAGCATTCACTTTCTTTTCGCCCTCTACTCAGGGCTAGATTTTACTCTACAGCAGTATCACCCAGTGCAATAAAACATATCTGTCTCAATGAATAAATTGTGTTTTCTTAGTAGCAGCAATATTTATTTGATTAAAATGTATAGATCCGGAGGCACTTTGCAAAAACTCATTAGCCTTTTGTACCTAATCTCTCTCCTTTTGCCTCTGTGATGTGTGACTAATGCTACAGCTGAACTTCAGCTGGGGCTTTTTCTCTGTTACCGGAGTGGTGCTCATGGAATCTTGTGGGAGTAGTCCTGTAAAGCACTGAGGTGGAGCGCTGAGGTTTGTAACTCTGTAGGGCAGAGAAGAAATGAATGCAGGCAAGAGCGATTTCCCAGCAGGAAGAGGGGTTTTAGCTGCTGGGAATAAAATTAGACCAGAGGGCTTTAGAAGATGATAGGATTTTCTAAAAAGAGTGGTGCAGATAAAATACTCACGTACTGAATGTAGGAGGAACAAGTGACTTAAGGGGCTGGAGGTTTTTTGAAAGTATGCCACAAAACTGAAATTTCATGGCTGACATTTAGCACCTTTTCCCTAATTAGAAATGCTTCACTGAAGGAGGCAAATTTTTGCATCCTTGACCTATTCCCAGTTGAGTGTGGAAATCTGTGTAGCTGTACGTGTTTTGCTAGCAAAATACATGTGTTGTAACCTGGGAAGTTGGGTTATCAGTTGTTTTTCTGGAAGCTTGCTGGAATTTCTTGCCCGAGTCAGTACCGTATACGCAGTCTTCCGCTTTTAGGTGCCCTGGATCCCCTTGGACCCATTGAACCCGAATCTAGAACAGTACCCAGAGTATGCTCAGGCAAAGCCTTTGCACTGTACAGTGAAAGCTGGTGAGATGTTATACCTGCCTTCTCTCTGGTTCCATCATGTTCGGCAATCACACGGCTGTATAGCAGGTAAAATATGCAGTATTTCCAGATATGTTTTTGAACTGTAGTGGGTGTGCAGCTAGAGCAAAAGATCTGCAGCAAAGCTTAACTGGGACCTTTAAGACCATCTGCCTCCCCTCAGGAGGAAGTAGCAATCTCGCAGATGCCACGGGGCTACCTCCTTGCGATCTCTGCTGCTGATAATTCATAACATTGTTGACAAGTGCTAGGGATGTAGCAGAGGAAAAAGTCTTTCTAGTTGTCAAGTCTGGAGAATCAGTCATCATGATCCAGTTTCTGTTCCTAACGTGGAGCTAAGTGGTTTGCCTGGCCTGCTAACTGCAAATCGGTCATCTGCATGTTGTGTGTGCCGTTACCGCATCAGCAAAAAAGGATCTGGGGGAAGAAAAGGAAACCAGAAAGTGTATGGGTTTTAGGCATGGATACGGACCCAACGAGGAAGGTACTCTGTTGACAGTCATGTGAGCTGCAATCTGCCCCAGCGTTGTCATCTACCTTGCTAATAAGCCTGTGCTTGTGTTACTGTTCCCCTGTGACTATCAAAACTCGTCATCTCTTTCTTTGTAGGATTTATCATCATCTCTCGCTCCATATTTTTTTCCTTCCTGAAGAGAGTTGCAGAATTTCAAGTATTGCTCATTTGGTGCAGGGGTGGGGGTGGTGCAAAGTATTATCATTGTATCCTGTAAGTTTTGCAAGGTTTGAGGAAGAGTTTTTTGCTGTCTTTTACCTGTAATAATCCTGTCTGCCCAGAAAGAGTAAATACAGTACTTTGAACAACGTAACATTAGTATTTGTGTAACACTGCAAATATTTGCAGGCCCTTTTTTTCAGTATTTGCGATACTGTGATAAAAAGACAAACTAGGAGTGAAGCAGTATTTCTGATTCTCTTTTCTGAGTACTGCTGCATCAGTCCTTAAAGGACTTTTGGAAAACATAGAGTTGTTTCCAGTGGCACGCCTGCGGCCACTCTCTCTGTCTAGCAGAAACGCTACAGAGTCGATTTGTTCATTTGGCCTTTAGTCTGTTAACTGCACTGCAATCTGTGTACACTTGAAAAATCAATATTTTCTGGGTCTGGTCCAGTGAATGTCTGAAGCTAGAGGATATCCTCCTCCAAGAACCATTGGTATAATATTATACTGCTTGGCTTATTTTTTCTAGGAGATGTACACCAAAATTGAAATAAGAAGTATAATTAAAGCACTGTCTAATTGATAGTCTTTGTGAAGTAGTGGTGAACTTGCTGTCCTTTACACACTCAGAGGAAGAGAGGTTCCTATCCAGATATTAAACTTCGCAGTGTATTTGGTATTCTTGGTCTAAATAGAAGCATACATTTTCTGTAACTAAATGTTTTGCCAACTTCTTCTCCAGTTAATCCCCAGTGTAGAATCTGAAGAGGGGTTGGTTTGGGTTAAGACCAAACTGCATTGGCAGTGCTATTGAAGAACTCATAATGTTTGCTTACATTATTTTTGGCTGTAGTCGAAGATTCTCTCGTTTTGGAGTTCAGTCAGTAATAAGGAAAAGCCTGTAACTAGCTGAACAGTGTAAAACAGTCTGTGGACACGTTTGTAAACCATTACATTCTAGCCTTAGAAATGTTTTTCCTTTTTCTTGTCTCCTCAGTGAATTATTGGTATGACATGGAGTATGACCTTAAGTACAGCTATTATCAGCTACTAGATTGTCTCACAGAAACCGTGAAAGTGTTATAGCAGAGGTGGGAGACTCGAGCTTGTGATCGCTCTCTGATGCGACACAATCATCAGTATCTGTGACTGGAGTACAAACATGATTCAAGTGAAAAGAACTGAACAGTAAATTATCCTCAACAACATCTGTCAAACAGATCATGGCTATTTTGCTTGCTTTCAGAGCCCAGATCAATTGATCAGATTTTTTGGCTTGCACATAGAAGGCTTGATAATACCGTTTTTAGGTCTCTGTGTGTTGCCTCAGTGACGGTGAGCCACATAAAATTTGAAGGGAGGCAATCCAGCTTTTGGAAATCCCAAAACAGAAGCCGTAACTGTTCATACCTACAGATTGTTTCCATAACAACCCAAGTGGACAAGGAAGCATCTGCTCTGCCACCCACCTGTGCCTCGGGCTGCATCAGTCCAATACATGCATTCTGCTTAAGGCAAAAGTCCTGTCCAGTTCACGAAGTTCAGTGGCTGTGGTGTTTTGATGCTGAGAAATTACAACTTCTTCAATAAAAGGTCTGTTTAAAAACTTACTTCTGTACGAATTTCATACTTCTTTTTTTTTTTTCAAATGATGTGATGGGTGGAGGACATCCAGGAGGACATGCAAAAGTCAGTGCTGGCTATTCTCCATGGTAAGCTACATGGTCTTATTGCTGGTTTTTATTTCTTTCCGTCGTTGTATTTAATTGTACCTGCATTCTCTTACATCCTGAGTGGTGATTTTAGAGTTGTTTTGCCCGATCTATAGTCAATCTGCACATCACCTGTGGTCTCGTGCCATGACGTATGATTCTGCTGCTTGTAGGCTCATTGATTGTGTAATTCCTTTGCCATTAATTGCTGCCTAACACATGGTCAGGTGAGGTGAATGAACCACGAGCCTGTTTCTGCAGCCTTAATTCCCATTTGTGTTTCCACAGAACAGGATGAGACTACTCAGGTGCCTGAGACCCGCAGGGTAGGGCTGGAAGGCTGTTAAATACATGGACATTGCAAAAATGTAGTGGTGTTGTTTATGAAAACCGAAAGTTGGTACTGATTGTCAAATCTTCAAGCAGTTCCTTAGAAACATGAGCGATATGGGGGAAAACTTGTTTTCCATGCGTGAATTAGGAAAATGCAGATAGTCTTTAGACAAGATTGATTATTGTGAAGAAAAAAGATAATTCTTTTATTTTGTCTGTTTCTTTTGTTTTTTAAAGAAACACGGTTAAGGCATAAAGCATCATTTTACCTTGTGGTGCTTGTCCAAAATTTGCTGAAAACTGAAGCGGGATAAAGGGCAGGCTTTGTTTCCCAGCGAGACTGAGGCGTCGTGTTCCTTCAGGCTTCCCGGTTTGTTTGTGCTCACTGTGCCGTGGCAAAGGCGTCCGAGCCAGTTCTGCAGTCGAATCTGCCCTTTCCCACAGGCAGGGCAGGGGGAAGGCGATTTGAACGCCTCTTTTTGTCTCCTTGGGGTTTTTAATTTGGTGTCTCTCTCTATAACCAAGGGTAAGACCTCTCGCCAGAACAAGTGACAGCTTGCGTCCGTGCGGGTGGCTGGTGCTACCGGCCCACCTCTGAGCCCCGGGCAGGAGGGAGGGAGGCCAGCTCTGAACTACGCCTCCCAGCAGCCCGTGCCAGCCAGCCCGAGGAAGCAGTCACGGTGGTTCCTCCTGGACTTTGAGCAGAAGTTTGAAGCCTGAGGAGCGAGAGGCTTCCGGTGATCCTCTCCCGGGCAGCCTGTGTCTTGGCACGCAGAAGGGCGGCTCCTCTCCCCGCCAACGGAGCTGGGATGGCGGCGCAAGTGTTGGTCCTGCCTTCTCCCCGGTGCCTGTTCGATGACCCCGTGCAGATCCGTGTGGAGGGTCTCCTGCCCCAGCAGGCCGTCACCCTCCGGGCCAGCCTGGTGGACGAGAGCGGGGAGCTTTTCCAAGCCCACGCTTGCTACAGATCTGGGAGCGATGGCAAGCTCGACCTCAGCTGCTCTCCGGCGCTGGGGGGCAGCTACTTGGGCGTGGAGCCGATGGGGCTGCTGTGGTCTCTGCAGTCTAAGGCGCCCTACAAGCGGCTGGCAAAGAGGAACGTCCTGACCCCTTTCTGTGTGGACTTGGAAGTGTATGAGGGCCACGGGGACATCAGCCGGTTGCTGGGGAAGTGCACCAATGAGCGATGGTTTATAGGAGAGGGAGTGCAGAGGATTTCGGTCAGAGAAGGTCGCCTGAAAGCAACCCTTTTCCTCCCTGCTGGTGAGTGTTAATTCCATTCTGGTTTTCCAGGTGTGACTTACACCATGTCTTGTGCCCCGTGGCCCCTGGATGCGCTCGGCAACCCAGAACAAAGCCTCAGTTAATGGTTCCCTCAGCCTGTGCTTGGTCCAGTGACTTGGATCCTCAGAGCAGAGCAGGGAGGAGCAGGCGTTGCCCAGGCAGGCCGAGTGCCGAGGCCGGGGCTGCAGGGTGGGCAGCAGTAGTCACACCAGGCGTGTCCTGCGTTCTCTAGCTGAGGGAGGTCAGCACCTCTCTGGCGGCAAAAGCTCTGGGGAAAAGTGTATTGTTTCTTAGCTTTTCTGTTTAGCTGACAGGACAAAGAGGCCCCTGGTCTTCAGCAGAGCTGTGAGGCGTGATGGCTCTGGCTCTGGAGCGAGGGTGGTGAGGTGTGGTGGGAGCACTGGACCCGGGCTGCAGCCAGACTGGGCTGCTCCAGCAGCTGCCATGGATCTTCCTGCAGGCTCTGGACTTGTCTCTCTGTCTCCCTCTTTGGCTAAGGAAAAGCCAAAGAAAGAAGTCTCTACCTAGTTGAACAGCTTGCCTTCACGGGATGCTTAGGAAGATGGGAGACAAATGAGAAAAGCAAGGTCTTTAGTTAAACAGGCTTCATATTCCACAGCTCCGTACAGAGACAGTGCTGAGACTGGATCCTGTGTATAGCTGCCCTGAACTGTGTACGTTCCCTGAGCAGTACATAAACATGAATGTCTTGCTCTGTAATGAATAAAAAGTCCGTTGCAGCTGCTGTGACACCAGATCTTGTAAGGCAAGTCTGGCTGTAAGAACGGGCAGAGCAGCAGCGGGAAAGGAAGGTCCTTTGGCTGCAGAAAGAGATCCGAGAAGTCCAGGGGTAGTTACCCAGATAAGACTGAAGCCTGAACTGGCATAGGGAAGTGCTGGCACTTGTCGGTGCTTTTCATAGCTCGAGTGTTCCCTCCCTGGAAAATCTGCTAGCTCAGTTCCTAAAGAAACGCAGCTTGTGCAGCGATACTGTTTGTTCATCGATCCCCAATGGCCTGAGAACATCTAGGCCACTTTCAGCTGAAATTCATGGTGGGAGAAGGATGCCCAGCATATGGGCTTCCTATAGTGAGTTCCTAAGAGAAAAGAAATATCCAGATTAGGGTCCTTACAGTGATTGTGTGTGTGCCTGAGATTGAAAACCTCCATGGAAAGCTTCAGAGGGTGGTTTCCTTTTGATATCTACTGTCCTGGTATGTGCTGGGGGGGCACTACTGAAGGGAAAACTGCAGAAACTTTTCTCTTTTAGTGTATATATACATACACACATCTTTCGTTACAGGACCTGGTCCATTCCCTGGACTTATTGATTTGTATGGATCTGGAGGAGGTCTTGTTGAATACAGAGCAAGTCTTCTGGCTAGCAGAGGCTTTGTGACTCTGGCGGTTGCTTACATGGCCTTTGAAGATCTCCCTGCTATGCCAGAGATTCTTGAACTGAGCTATTTTGAGGAAGCTGTAAACTTTTTGCGAAAGCAGGAGCAGGTAAGAGACAAATTATGGTGCTCATCCTGTTGGAAACTATTTTCAAATCTTCTAATGTGAAATGCCATACTGAATGCAACTAAGTTTCTGAAATGTTTGAAGGAGACAGCATTGTCTGAAAGACAGTGTGATCTGAGAGATTTTGCAAGTAGTTGGACAGCTGATTTTGCACAGCATCTTATGACAGCCCGTAGAATGTTGTGCAAACCAGTGTTTGGATAAGATTAAGTCAAAGCAGTTCCTGGACTAGAAGCATAAAACTGCGTAATTTTTTCCCCACTCTTGCATCTTGCAAGATTTTAGAAGGGAAAAAAAATCCATTGACTTTTTCTACCATTTCTGAGAAGTTACAGGCTTTTGAGTCAGAGTGAGTTTCACAAGGCAGTAACAAAACACTTTAACAACAGAATCCCTTACAGTTGTAGCACTGGAGTGAGCCATGTCTTAAGAAGCTGGGGCTGTATTTGAATAAGCATGTGGGATGAGAAAGACACTTCATAGCAATATATCATCATACTTAAACCAAAAGAAACCAAGAGAAATCAAGTAGCATTTAAACTTTGTATGGAATGCTACTTAATGTGGTATTCATTTCACAAAGTTATTAATTTTCTAGCACATGGACACCAGGAATGTAGCCAATGTAAGAGCAGAATTCAGCCGTGCTTGTTTGTCTCGTTCCTCATGGAGCTGTGAAACTTCCAGAGTGTCTTACAAGACACACATTACAAAATGAATTTGGTGTGAAGAGCCTTCGCTATAAATAGGTTGATTTAAACAGTTGTTGGGCTTACTCAGCCTCAGGTGTAATGAACCTTACGCGTTCCAAGACAGAACAGAAGGTAACAGGTCAGCTGTAGGAGAGTACCGAAAAACAATGGCATGAAAGAAAATCAATGCAAGTAAACCCATGGAAAAATGGTTTTCCAAAGGGGACCTGAGGAGGGAAGATTGGGGTGGTTTAGAGGCAGGAGCAGTAAAAGATACAATACTGAGAGCAAGTGTCTAGCCAGGATGTGGAGGGAGCAAGGAGGCTTTGACTGTAGAGGTCAACAGGAAGAATAAGAGTTACACGAGGAGAAGTGTTGAGGAGCTGTAGAATTCATAGTCACTCCTGTGGAGGCTTAGCAAAGTGATAGGCACAGGAGTGGTGTAACCTGAATAGAGAGGTAAGGGGTAAATTATGGGCAGTCTTATCTAGATGAGGAGTGAGGAAGCAGAACTGGAGATGTTATGTCAGCCCAGGAAATCAGGAGTTGTTGATAATGGTTGTTTCATAACTGTGTTTCAGGTGAAAGGTACTGGGATTGGCGTCCTGGGCTTGTCTAAAGGAGCTGATCTAGCCCTTTGCATGGCCACATTTCTAC